GGTTAGATATGTGGTTGTCACGAGTCACCGGGCCAGTGTCTGGGCCTGGCATGCGGGCAGGGGACTGGACTCGGTGGCCTCTCGAGGTCCCTTCCAGTCCTATAATCTATGAATCTATGAAAAATAGCTAGTATTGGAAGAGCTGGCATCTTTTTTTGTAATGGATGAGGCAAAAGATACGAGTGACAGAGAGATGGACTCAGAGTATGTGTTTTTCATACAAATCTGAGGAAGGAATTCAAGTTCTTCTCCACTGCTGAACTAGAAAGTATCTGCTCTATGTGTTTTAAAGGACATAGCAAAAATGCAACCAGTGATTACATATGACAAATGTGCTTGTACTCTACGCTATGGCCAGCCAGCCAGCCAGCCATTCCTCTACTTGAGCGATAAGAAACTTGACATTTTTAGTTTGCAAGGGGTTTGACAATTTTTGTTTCTGGTTTGTGTTCTATGAATTTCACTCCGACTTCCAAATTCAAACCAATTCTTCTTCATTCTCAGCCCTCTCTATCCCTTTCAATTTACCTTCATCCTCTGAACCATCTTATGTCTGTCTTTAACCTTAGCCACCACATCTATACCTACTTTTCCTTTCTAGTTCCCTCCATCCAGCTCCCCCAGCACTCACTCCTTTTGCTAGTTTGTCCCTTTCTACAATCTTACTGCTGGTAGGAGAGCCTTCTCCTTTGTAACTCTTGCCATCAGAAGCAAACTTCCTATTCTGTCTGCATCTTGGAGCCTCCATCTATTTTTCAAATTGCACCTGAAAACACAACTTTTCTCCTTTTCATAGGTGCTCAGATACCACAGTGATGAGCACAGTACAGGAACCTGAATAGAACACACCTTAAAATTGAAATTAATGAAACTCCTCATATGAATAAGGTGAACAGGATCTGGCTCTTTAATAGACTATTCCTACATTATACACTTAAGCACTTTTGGAAATTTTATCCTAAGTGATGTAGGAATTTAGTAGCTTAAGTCTCACTGAGAATCTATGGGACATAGACTAAGTGCCTAAATCCGTTTTGAAAGTGCTAGACTTTTCAGTTCTGAAAGTGCCTTTTTTTTTTTGGTCTGCTGCAATTGGTTTAATCTCTCAAAATACATTGCATTTGTATTTATCCATGACTTGTTTGTCTTTAATCAGTTTTGAACTACCTGCACCAGAAATCTCGCACTTACCCTGCCAACATGGTGTACAACAGGATCCCTAAGCTCCAGATGTCACAGGCTGCGTCATAACCTTGTCGTTTCAGGACCTACATAAGGAAATCAAGAGAGACAAGGTTAATTCATGCTCCTGAATTCTGAACTTTTGAATGTCAGGAAAATGTGGATGTTATGGCAGTGATGTGTTAATATTTTGCAGAGCTTGCTCTAGTGTACAGGTGGAATAGGGAGTTGCCTAGGGCAGCAAAACAGTCAGTAATTGTTTGCGTGGGAAACTATCGGATGGAAGGGGGGCACATTTACCATTTTGTTGAAGATAATAGAATCTATTTAGCTGGTCCTAGACACACAACTCTAAAGAAGCCAAATAAGACGGAGGGGCTGGGAAGGGGGGGAAAAGGTGGATTTTAAAGTCAATGAATACAAGCAACTATTCTCACACACATAGGAAAATATATAAATACTTTGGATACTGTAATTCAAGTTATAGTTATCCCATGACATGCAAAGTAATCACAGAAGAAAACAATAATAAGAAAACACAGGGACTGACAGACACATTTCTAGATTTACTATTGCAGCAAATGCGAGCTTCTCTACAGAGCTTGGTTAAAATGATTCTGGACATTAGGAAACATTCTCATTTACACTAAAGACCTTATATGCTGCTCCGTCAGATTGAAGGGGGCTTACACCTGGTGTATATTTACGCACACTTAAGGGATCCCTCTAAGCTGCCAGAACAGTGTAAAAATGGCTGTGGTGTGAACTGGGTTCTAAAGGTTTGACTTTTGAAAAGGTCAATGTACCAATTCATATGCAGTTACCAGTCCTGTGTGCACAAATCAGGTATTTGTACATACAAATTGCCAGAATGACACATGACCAATCATTTTCAGATCAATACCCAGTTTGCCCACCCACTCTCACTAGCTGTGTGCAATCATGCATTTGTACACGTGACTTTGCGTCATTGGCATTTGTACATATGAACATTGGAAAATAAGGGCCTGAAAACTTCTGAAGTTACAGTAAAGCTGTTACGGCACGTGGGGAGATAGTAAAGTAACTGAAGAATTTTTGGGGACACGCAGCAATATTCATTTTACATCAATAACCCAGTAACATGTCTACCAGGTGGTGTGTGTAGAAGGAGGAAGGAAATACATGCATCTACCTAGGCTCTCTTGTGGAACGTGATGCATGGGCATTACACTGAATTACATCATGTCATGATACTTATGTGACCTAACACGAAAGTCAGAATCATGTCCTGCTGGAGTTTTGGAGCCTAGGTGCTGGAACTAGAAGTGCGTGTGTGTGTGTGTGTGCTGCACCCCCTGGCTTAAAGTGGTTTCCATGATATACAGGGTTTACAGTCTGGTTCAATGCCTCTCAGCACCCCTGCTATAAAAAAATTGTTCCAGCACCACTGTTTTGGAGAGAGTTGATTTTGTTTGGTTGGTTTGTTCTCATTCTTGTAAAATTCCGGATATACTTGTCTCAGCCTTTGGTATCAGGATTTTCCATAACAAAGGTCTAGAGATCATTAAGGGCCAGATTCTGCCACCTTTACTTACACTCAGTAGTCAATAGGGCTACGCTGGAGGAATGGTGATCTATGTTCATATGTGTAAAACTATGTATGGATCTTCTAGGCTTTGCTTTGTAATAGGGCATTGTTACTGGAGTGGTGGTGATGCGTTTTTTTTTTTTGGCTCTGTCTACAATGTTTTTCGTTTTGGCTTTTTAAAAATGTACTATGTAGAATTGTATTGGTTTGGGATTTTTTTTTTTGGAAACCAATAAGCAAGAAATAGCAGCTATGTGCTAGCTTACAAAGAAAATTGAATACAGTAAGGTTAATTTAAAGTACAGTTATACCTTGAAAAGTGACTAGGCAAAAATGTCACTGTGGGGTTCTAACTTTCAAGGAATATGTATACATTAGAAAGAGGTCAAGATTAGATCAGGGTTAGCTAACTCCAATTTAAATGAGACCTTGTCTTCAGTGCAGACACAGGTTAACAGTTTTTACTTTACGCTCTCTGAGGGTCCATTCTGACCAGCTAATGCATTTTTAAAGGTGTAAAGCCCTTTCTGCTACAGTGTATAACATATTTGTTAAAATGTGTTAGCTAAGGCATTTTTAAACTTTATCTATTTTTCTAGTCTAAGACTCCTGGGTTGGAAGTAACAAAGAATGTTGCAGATTCAGCAAGCTCAGATTTGAGGGGGGAGAGAAAGCACTTTGTCTGGGCTAGGGTAAAGATTGTGTTTAGGTCAGGTTTATTCAAACCCTCTCCCCCCAGTGTAGATAACGAATAACACTCTACCTCCTAAACTAGAGCTAAAGAAGAAACCCTGCATCTACATTAAGAAAAGTGGTCATGTTTAGGTTGGGCTTAAAGAGCATATGGTAATGTAACCCACACACCTCCTGCGTGTGGTGTTCTGTCCCATCTAGTGGCACTGAGACCACTTAGAGAGAGGGATGAATGAGTCCGTTGTACAGTCTTAGCTAACAGCCATAAGGCTTTTGCCTCATGCTGTAGAGGCTCATGCACGAAGCTGCAGAGGTCCCAGGTTTGATCCCGTCCACTGACGACCAGGGTCTGTCGGCGTTACATTAACAAAGCCAAACTTGATCATTTCCCCTCAGGTAGACAAGTCCTAGAGTGCTCTGAAGAGATCTGCCCAGCTGACTTAATACTGGTGCAGAACCAGAGTGGGAGCTATGTTCAGTCCTTTTGGCCGCATGGACACCTAGCACAACACAAGGGGCCTGATTCAGATGTCATCTGCAGTGGTGTAAACCAGGGGTAACGCCATTCAAGTCAGTGGAGTTACAATGGTGTAAATCTCTCAGGGTGGGGGAAGAATAGGGGATTCCTGATGTTCTGAGAAGGGCCTTAGAGCATTCTTACCCTCAGAAGGAAAGAATAATTAACTTTTGTATTTGCTTCCCTACTGCTTTAAAAGTGAGCCAGTATTCTGCATACATTTTGAGATTGCAGTTGTTAGAGAAGATCAGTTTTTCCCATGTGATGGGATCACTAGATACAGTGACCTCCCTGCAAAACACTATGAAAGGAAGGAACATTCTGCAACATTTGTTCCCCCCTGTCCTGGAGCCCTAGCACTGATTAGTGATCTCACTTCATTGAAGGGTTGTGGTGGATTCTCCAACACTGATAATTTTAAAATCAAGATTGAATGTTTTTCTAAAAGTTCTGCTCTAGGAATTTTTGTTGTTGTTGGAGGGGGGTGGAATTCTATGGTCTGTGTTCGACAAGAAGTAAGTTTGGATGATCATAATAGTCCCTTCTGTCCTTGGAATCTATGAAAAAAGTGACTTCAGAAAATCCTGCCTAGGTAAACTTTAGCAAATATAAATGATGAGGCAAAACTATCTCTCCATCTGACAGATGTGATGAGTGTGCATCTGCTACCTTGGAAAAAGCTACCTTACACAAGACAATCATGCCTTGGGGGCAAATAGAGTAGACAAAAAATTCTAAAGCGCTTAAAAGTACAGTATATCTGTGTTAAATATTGACTGTGCTGGCTGGCTACTTCATCATGACAATTTTAACATCTAGTAAAATAAGAACAGGTATTGGGGTGTGCTTTAGCTTCCAAAATAACTTTAATAGTCCGTGTCACTGATTTTTACAGCTGCGTGAGATAAAATGGAGAGGTTCCAAAGTACCTCAAATAATGTATCCACTTTGGAGGCCAAATACCTGGTATTTAGGCAGAAAATCTGCACACTTTTTGGTGCAAAATCTACCCTTGTGCAAGTTTATGCTGTAGGAAATCTGGAAAAAGTAGATGTGCAATTACTCAGAAAAGACGGTTTGCCAAAAATTCCCTATTGTTGCTGCCACTGGTGGTAACAATGGTGGTGGTGGTGGTGCGGGGGCTAGTCAGAGCTACTAGTCACCACTGACGTTTTAAGCATCATGTCCAGCTCTACAATAACACAGTGATTTAAGTGCCAGCAGCCACCAGCACCTTATCTATGCTTCAGCTCCCACTGGTGAAACTCAACAGATGGTAGCAGTGTGGGACATTTTTGGCAAAAAAGCCTAGCACAGACCATGCCTGTGTTTGTACAGTGACTAGCACAATGGGGTTCTGGGCACAACTATAATAAATAACAATAAACGTCTTCACTAAAATCAGATACCAGTTCTTTTCCACAACTTCCATAAAAGTATTTTTGTTCAAAGGGCTTTACAAGAGAAGGTGTGTTATCCTGGCCTCATGGAAGTCAGAGAACCTGTCATGTATGTAAGAGCTGAGATCTCCTAAGGGACAGAATGTGGTTTCCAATGTACATATATATGGTTCTTAGGCCAACATACTGTAGGTCATTTGTAGTAATGGGCAAACTTCAGATGGCTCCACTGATTCTAACAATCACCCAGATGTATATCCAAAATCATCTAACTTTTAGATTTTGCATTACTGGGCTGAAATATTGTGAAAATAGGCTCTCTGGTACTTTAGAATTTCTGCTTCTGGTTATAGTGGGGACTAGGAAGCATACAAGAATGGAAAAATAAGAAAAAAAAATCTTATGTTTTTGCATGCTAAAAAAGATTCTGTCCAGAGTTTGGTTGAATTTTGAAGAATGAAGGCTCCTTATTTTACTCAAAATGATCCTCTTGTACTCAGTCATGTAATGCACGGTGCTTGTGGTTTGTTTATTCCTGACTGAACCATGCTATTTATTCTTTACGGAGAGCACTGCTCCCACTAGGTGGCATGCTGGTTCTTCCTCTTAGGCATCTTCTACCATCTATGATATTTTACCCTGCAATAGCCCCATTAGCATCCAATACCAAAAATTAAATGCTTTCCAAAATAAAGATTTATATATGCAAACCTGCCATTACACCTCTGCTATCCTTCTGTTGTATCATATGCTCAATCTCCTTCCTAACTTCCTATTTAATTTCACATGCTTATGGGAGGAAGTGGTTGCAGTGGGTGTTGAACTGAGCTCGTAAAAGACAAATCGGAGCTGACGAGCAGCATTATGTCACAGGAGCAGCACTTAAGGCTTTCACGCGAACTGTCAGTTATGGCAGTGTTTCAATTGATTGCTAATGTTTCCTGCATTAGTAGGACTTGCCTGGCTCATTGAGAATGGTTAGGAGTATGATTTCTGATCTGAATTCAGCTCACTAAAGTCTAATCTGTCGAGGTGTTGATCTGGCAGCGTTTCCGATTATGGACAGCGTACAAAAGATATTCCGTAATGAAAAGGGAAATCAGATACTGTAGGCATGTTAATCTTTCAGAAAATGACAATATTTAGTCTCTCATATGTGGTCAATTTTCATCTTAAAAATTAAACTGTCATGGTACCACAGTACATTTTTCATTTATTCTGATATATTTTAAAGAGCTATTTCCACGATGGATAACCAGACCAACAGCAACAAAATAATGGACCAAAAATGTAACTTGACAACGGAAGAGTTAATAACATATCTGCATTTTTATATATTAATCATGGCTGTGGCATGTGTATCATGGAACATGACTTTGTGTCTAACACAATGAGCCACATCATCTGATGATGAGATGGCATCAATTAAACAAAAGTCATTTTTTGAGAATTCGGGGTATATGATCGAAATTTTAAAAAACTTCCCAAAAGTATTGTCTGTAGGAAGATAAGCCAGTTACTTACTTCATCGTTACAGGCAGATACCGAGTTGCTACTTTTTTGGGCAGGAGGGTAAGGAAATTAGGAGGCAAAGGAGGTTGAGGATTGCATACTGTCCGAGGGAAAAATGGTATTTGATATTGGAATGATACATAATTTTGTGATATGTAATAATTGTGTATTCTGTTATTGGGTAGTAACCAGCAGAGGTAGATAAACAATTAGAGTTGTATATTTAGGGACTTGATTAAGCTAGTAAAACCTGACTGGAACAAATAACTAACAATCATCCAGGAGATAAACTTGTTGATACTTCATAGAAGGACAGATATGAGTTTCAAGCGCTGAACCATAGTAGGCAGCCTAAATAGTCCAAACAGGTAAGGAACCAAAGCCATGGGCACGGTTACCACAAGATTTGGGGCAATAAAGAGGAAGAGCACTAGCTTTCATTCGTGCTAACCTGGATCCAGCTTCTGTTACTTTGTTCAAGTCACTTGGCCTCTCTCTGCCTCAGTTCCCCATCTGTAAGTGCTGAGGATAATAGCACTTCTCACCCTCACAGGGGTGTTGTAAGGACACTAGACATTAAAAACTGGGAGGTGCTCAGATACTACAGTGACGGGGGCATATAAGTATCACAGGTAGAAAGAAGAGAAAACACAGTGGGCCAGATTCTGATACCCTTCCTCACACTAAACAGCATGTTACTCTAGGAGTAATCCCATTGACTTCAGTGGGACTGCTCATGGGGTGAGATACTATCCATCATGAATAATGGTATCAGAAACTGTCCCAGATGGGAAATGAATCCAGAGATGTGATGCCAAGAAGGAATTCAGACATGCTGCCACACCAAGAGCAAGAGGAGGATGGGCTAAGCTTAGGTGAGGAGAGTTCACTAAACCTGTAACGCCTTTTTCATCTTCACTATAACCACACAGATTCTATCTGGCTGGATTACTATTTGAGGAGTTCCAGGTCAGAGATGCTTTGCAGGCTGTTTCTTTTGTTTTAAGTTCCTGAAATTGTAGAACCAATGAAGCCATTAGCAAAACTCCCATTGAGTTCAGTGGGGCCAGGATTTCATTCCAAGAATTTCTCTCTCTTGATTCTTAATTAATCTTGGCTTCAATATAATCATTTTGAGACTAACTTTGTTTGGATGAGGTACATTGAAGGGGAAACAACTGGGGAAAAAGAGATACCCAGCCTGAAGTAATCAGCCAAAGTGACACTTAAGTAACAGTTGCCAACTTTCACGCGGTAAATAAGCACCCTGACTTTCACAATAAGCCAAAAATCAAGCTAATCCCATTTCAAAACAAGCCAATCTCTAAGAACCCTAACACACTGTGTGACTAGATCCCCCCCTGGCGTGTAGTCTGGGACTGTGGTGGGCCCACTGTGCACCCCTGACTCTTTTCCACCCCCCCGCCCCTGCTTGCCAAGAGCGGATCAAAAAAACCAAGCTACAAGCCAAAAACTAGCCTACCCAACAAGCAACTCATAAGCCAATTAAGCCAAAAACAAACCCAATTTCTGTTTTTTTCCCCACGGGTTTGGCATGTCTGCTAAGTAAGTCCCAACCAGACATGGCTACAGTTAGTAAGGACATGGGGAAAACTAACCACCCACAAGGAATGAGGACTAGGGACGGCTGGTAACAGGGCACATGAAACTTGTCTCTGTTCCAACTCCTGCTTTGTTCCTTTTTTAAAGGCAGTGAGAGAAAGGAAGGACAGAGACATGCTTTTTGTTATAAAATTCTGTATCCACAGTTTATGAAACACAACCCTACCTCAGGGGCTACGAAGTTGGCTGTGTAGCAAGGTGTCATGAGTAGTCCATTCTCTGCTCTCAGCTGTTTGGCAAATCCGAAGTCACAGATCCTAATGGAATCTGGGTTTCCTGACTCATCCATGTAGAGAATGTTACTGGGCTTCAGATCTCGATGCACAACCTTAATGGGAAACAAATAAAAAATAAATAACATGGGCATGATTACACAGCTTGCAGGCTTGGTTACCATCATTATACATTTTTCCTGATGGTGGGGAGTGTGTATATGGGGGCAAAACTGTTCCTGCCTTGGAAGAGTGGGCCTTTGAAGAATGTCACTTTTTTTTTTAAATGAGTGAATTGATGGCATGGATACAAAATTGCACTTCTGTTAAAATCAGAAATAATAATACAAATTGCAACCTCTGATGATATACAAGAGGGAGGCAGATGTTCCAGTGGAAAGGCATCTCTTTTGTGGGTTAGCAGAAGGGATTACTATACAAATAAAATACATCCCTCTAAAAGTATAGGAAGCTCTTTGAAGCTGAGTGTTTTAATCCTTCAATTAAAAAAGAGAGAAGACTGCCAAAGGCGGAAAGTGTGGACTCATTTGAGTGTGAGGCTCTTTCTCTGGCTGCTCTTAACATGAGTGGCTCTCAAGTGAAGGGAGACATTTTCCTTTTCCTTCATTTCCCTTCCTAAAAAGCCTTTGTGCAGTGCGTATTTCACTAGAAGTGGCTACATTTCAGTGGTGGGCAAATAAAAGATATAGTTTATATCAGCCATGCAAAACTCATGAAAATGTATCAGCCTTGGTACAAAATGAACTCAAAGGTACTTTACAGGCCCATCCACAATGTTGCATGCCCCAGACAAATGGGAAAGGAGAGTACTTCAAATTGCTATCTGCAGGGGTCTCGAATTTCAAAAGTTGTTCTATTAATAGGTGGTCAAAACCCTGCCCTATCAGACGTTCACATCAGCATATAAGCTTAAAAAAGGGGAATTTGTTTATGCACCTATATGCTGATGTGAATGTCTGAGGGATAGGATTTTGATATTTTATTGAAGAGCTCATATTTGCCCACATGGTGCTTGGATACTACAATAATGATTGTGATATGAATAAATAATGCCCACATAGATTTGAAAATTAGAATCTTTGGCATTGCATAAATATAAGATATTTGGCCTGGAGAATGGCACGAGTGGCTTTAATCCCATTTCACAAACCGGACACTCATTTTTAATTGTAATGCTTAAATATTAAAACAATTAACCCTTTCCAAATTTCTTTGCACCTTTGAATGTTCATTTTGGGCAACCCCCCTATTTAATATTTATTTCCTGAGAAAAGTAGCTTTGATGTTGCTGCTAAGAGTCAGCTTTTACTAAGGTTGACATGGAGAACAGAGGTGATCATACTTACCCCTTGGGAATGCAGATAGTCCACCGTCTTAGTAATGGTGCAAAGGACAGCACTAGCCTCTCGTTCTGAGAAACACTTCTGTCGAAGGATTCGGTCTAAGAGCTCTCCTCCTCGCATTAGCTCCATCACCAGGTACACATACTTCCCATCATCATACACCTAGAAGAGCAGAGGAAGCAATCATACATCTCTGTTCCATTACTCTAGCAAGTAGTGATCACTCTGCAATATCTTGCCATGTTATTGCAAGATGCTGCAAGAAGAAAACAGAGCTAATACAGGAGAAGTGAATTTTATACTCCTTGTATTTAACAACAACATAAAAGTGATCTTTTTACAAAAAGGGTTAATCATTACAGTAACTCCTCACTTAACATCGTCCCGGTTAACATTATTACATCGCTGATCTAGTAGAGAATATACTCATTTAAAGTTGCGCAGTGTTCACTTATAACATTGTTTGGCCTCCGCCTGCTAGTACAGTACTTTGTCCACTACTTGCAGGATTCTCTGGAAGAGCAGTCGGTCAGAGCTAGCAGGTGGGAGCTTGGAACCAGGGTGGGCCAGCAGCCCCGCTAACAGATCCCCTCCACCTGCCCCAGTGCCTCCCCCTGCAGATGAGCACCTCCCCACGCCTCCTGCCTGCAACAATCATCTGTTTTGCGGTGTTCAGGAGGCTCTGGTGGGGAGGGGGAGATGGGAGGAGCGAGGACATGGCATGCAGCCTTCCCAATCGTTCCCCCAGTGCCTCCTCCTCCCTCTCCGGGCCTCCCACCCGCCATGATCAGCTGTTTTGCAGTGCGCAGGAGGTTCTAGGGGGGAGGAGCGAGGATGCGGCATGCTTGGGGTGAGGGGGTAGAGCAGGGTGGGAAGAGGCGGGGCGGGGGTGAAGCAGAGACGGGCCTTGGGGGAAAGGGTGGAGTGGGGACAGGCCTGTGGCAGAGCTGAGGGTTGAGCACCCTCTGGCACATTGTAAAGAACAGCAAGAGGAACAGCTGGACGATCCATTCTCTTTCACCCTCTGACTCCAGCACCTCAACCAAGCTTCATATTCATCATTGCAGAGTACAGTATTACATTGTTTAAATTGTTTAAAACTTATACTGTACATGTATATAATGTCTTCTGTCTGGGAAAAAAAATTCCCTGGAACCTAAGGGCGTCCCCCCTCCCTATTTACATTAATTCTTATGGGGAAATTGGATTCGCTTAACATCATTTTGTTTAAAGTCACATTTTTCAAGAACATAACTACAACGTTAAGCGAGGAGTTACTGTACTTCTCATCTCTGAAGCAACTATTCATCGAACCTTGAGCTGCACAGAAACCCAGTTTTCATAATTTGCTATCAAGTCTGCAAAATATTAACAAACCAAGCTGCAGAAGCAGCACCTCCAACTGCAGCCTGAAATCTTTTCTGGCATTAGCCCAAACTTCCTCACAATTATTTGCTCTCTTCCACTTCTACAGGATACCACTTGCCATTTTAAATATCAATATTTCCCTTTGTCTCATAAGCAGCCAAACAAACTGCATTATGATTAGTCAGTACTTGCTTTCCGTGATAGCATATAGCATGTGCATTCTGGTGAATAAGTTGTTTGCATCAGCTTTTTGTCCAAACTGGAATATAGTGATTTTAATTTCATACCCCTTTGCTACACTGGACATTTATATGGACAACGAGAATATCCAGTGTTATAATAATCAATGCTAAACCTTTTTGGAGGCCATACAAAGCTTCATGCTGCCAGTTTTAAGGCAATCTCTAACTATTAGGGATTAGGATGAGACCTTAATGGGGACCACATATGCCGAGGGATTTCTTGAACTTTCCTCTAAAACATCTGGTGCTGGCCACTGTTGGAGACAGGATACTGGACCAGATGAAGATAAATCTGATCCAGTATGGCAATTCCTATGTTCCTGTGTGTACAGACTATGGATAAGGTCTCTGTGTTTCTGTCTATTGAAACAAACACATACACACCACACACCACTACACTCTAAGTGCTGGCCATGGTAAATTATTGTCCAAATGAATTGACTAGGAATTATAATGTGAGTATTAAATACAGATATGTCTGTAAGCCTGACTTGATATATGTAACTTGCCTCATTTTTTAGTGGACATCATTGGGAAGGCGAATGGAAGGTTAAATTGTACGTAGGGGCTTAACAAGCAGTATGCTGGAGTCAGAATGTCTGTGCTGGCAAAGATAAGCAGGAGCACCTGGATGCTAGGGACAATGGGCAAGATAAACCTGAAATGTAAAGATCAGTTTCTACATGGACAGAGCATACTGTACAGGAATTGGTTCCTGAAAACTAACCAAGCCTACCATGAAGCATATGATGCAATGTATAGTTAAGAATGCATGTGTTATTAAAAATGTATACAAGGTAAACTTTTGTTGTGTAACTTTGGATGTGTGGTACACCCTACATGCACACCCCTACGCTTGAGTCTGATCAACTCAGCATAGCTTTGATGTATGCCAAATAAAGGAACCTGAATGATGAGACTGGAGTCAAACTGAGTTCTTGGGGAACGAGTGGAAGAGGTATCAGGAAAACCCCAACAACATCTACACACATTCTCCTAACATTCAGTTGGATACCCATCTACAAAGTGCCAGCATTCTAGAAGCATTAACATTCTGTGCTTGGATAGAATTCTACTGTATCTATTTAGGTTCTTATACCTTGCTCATCACTGTAATCTCTGAGTGCCTAGAATCTCACGCTAGATCATTCCCAATTCCTGTAACTCTTGGATAGATATGCACTAGGTTGTGTCTGTGTCCCTTAACATTCCCCAATTCTTGTTATGGGGGAAGAAATGGGGAGCCAGAAAATGTCATATTTGATTTTTTTAAATTTTGGAAGTCCACATGATGACTTTTCCACAGCTGTCCATCTTCCACTGGAATCAAGGGCTCTGAGCTTTATAAATACAATACCTCAGGAGCTCCAACGCAAATGAGCTCACAGAGGTGTGTTTTCTTTAAGGGAGTGAACAAATCAGTAGTCTCCCACCCAAGAGCACACTACAACCCAGAAGCAGGCTTCCTCTTTTTCCTTTACTGTCATTTATGAGACAGCTAGCACTGTTAGGCCTCATCTATACTAGGGGATTTTAGCAAGAACATTTTCCAATAGGGCTGCCAGCAGGTGGATTCCTAGTGTTGACAAGACTCCGGCAGCTTACAACATTTCTACACCATGTTGACTAAAGCTGCTAGAGAAAGGGGATAAAAACACCAGAAGTCATTCTGGCTCTAGGGCTTTGGCGGGTGCTCCCTTTGGTGTAGCTGAGCTGGGGCGTTAGCACTGGTGAGAAGTCTCTGCTAAAGTTCTGTAGCATGGACAAGGCCTTAGAGATGTTGTCTTTCTATTAAATGTTAAAATAAGGTCTCTTCTTGTCTTTTCTGGTTGCTCATATGTAAGTTAAAGGCTTCTTGGCACTCAATAAAAAACAGGGGAAGCCCTACTGGCCTAGTTAACAACCCTCCTCTTAATAAAACAAGTACCTGAGGCTGTATGTCAACAGTTACTGACAAGGAAATAGCCATTCCAGTTATCTACAGAACCCTCATTATTAGTGTTCGACAATCTACTTCAAAAAGAAGATTGAAAGATTTTGGTTATGGAAAGTCTTTTAAAATCAAATTAATTTCTATTCTATCCAGCCTTACGGGTCATTTCAAATATGCTTTTCACTAGAGTTGACCAAATAGTATTTGTTGAATGCATGGTCTGATAATCTTGCCATTTGTGTGTCCAATAATTTTTCAATGAACATTTTTTCTGGGATTCAGATGGCTCTCATTTGAAAATTAAAATGACTGAACATTAAAACAGGAGAATTTCTCAGTTGCAGAGCAGGTAAGCTTGATATTAAAAGGAGAATTGTTTAAAGCTGAAGTCCTCATAGACTACTCACATCTTTCAGAGTAATGATGTTTGGATGCTGCCCATATCTCAAGAGAATCTCAATTTCTTCAGAGGGGTCTCGTTTGCTCTTATCAATTATCTGGAATAAAGGAAGCACAGACCAGTAAGATACAGGCTGACAGCACCCATCACCAAGCACAACAATGTCTAATTTAAATGTATTAACATTTAATATTCTTCTGGTCATCGTTGTTCTAGGACAGGACAGCCAAAGTGCTGTGATACCAAGGACCACAATGGCAATCTGCCAGAAAACAGACGGCACAACACCCAGCCTCCCTTTTTATGCCTGTAACGTTGTGACCACAATTGTGAGTACAAGGGGTGTAATTTGAACATTAGCTACTTTAATAGTGTCATAAAAAAAATAAATGCAGGCAGCCATAACACTGGCTTATATTTGCATCCTCCTCGGTAGATAAATAGGAATTGTTTGTCAGATATATTTTTTCACTGCTGATTAACCTATGAAAGACATTCACAGGCATAAAGGAGGTATAGCAGACTTGAGCTGCAGCCAGTTGTATTCATTATTCTCTGTGGGCCACACTAGGCCAAACTGTGGTCACCTCCATTCTAGGAAGAAAACATCAACTGCTTGGTACATCATCATTTTCTGTATTCAACACATATACACATCTATTGCACTGTACAGGGGCATAAACAGTTTGACTAAATTCTAGTCTGTAGACAGCGGGTCTAAGGAAAACATTACACCTGCTGCTTAAAAGCCACCCCTGCAAATAGAGCCTGCTGCTAGGATGTCATTTATTTCTCATCGACATTTCTACCTGCTACAATTGGGATGTCAGTCAAAAAGGTTTGGTCACTTGCCCAGCTGAGTGCATTGCTTTCAGTGCTGAATGTTAAATGGCTCTTCATTTCTTATACGTAAATGATAAACAAAAGTAATTACAAAACAACTAGAGGAAATTAGCCTTACCGTGGAGTCTCAGCTGTAACTCCAGAACTAAAGGTGTAAGATCCACTCCACTATATAAGACCAATTTCCAAAAAATTTCTGGCCAGGAGAAATTCTAGCCAAAAGATGAGACTTCCCCTCCCCCCCCCAGGAAGTTCTGGGGGCACTACCAGATACACTTTTGGATAACAGGGCTCTGAAAAAATAATTGTGACATTTTCACAAACTTGTAACTCAGTAACTTTTGGCTCTTAAGGCTTCAGACACGTGTAGTTCTCTGAGAGCTAGTACAATGGTATAGATTTAACACAATTTCATCCAAAACTAAAAACTCCTTAAAAGCACTGACTTTCTTAACATTGATACTTATTAGTGCACATCAACTGTGGCACACATTTGCATTTATGGTGGAGATCAGTGGTTGAGGGTACACATTTGAGGATAGGTCAGTGATCTTATTACATGTCAACAGTTGGTTCACACATTTTAAGTATATATCAACTGTCAGAGTGTGGGCCAGCAGGTGTGCACACGTGAGTAAATGCTGAGAAAAAGAAACTTCAAAAACAGGTAGAAGGAAAAAAAATCCTACTAGCAACTTCTCCTTAGAATAGTGTTATTCACTAGCTTAGGGGAACCTAGCCAGTGCTCAGAAAGACAGTGGATATTCTCATTGAATGAATTTACACATAGGACCCCCGAGTCTTAAAATGTCCCAATCAATCAGTAACTGTTTCATATAAAAAAGTATCCAAGGGCAGGTCTTCAGCTAGTGTAAGTCAATCTAGCTCCTTTGCAGTCAGTGGAGCTACACTAATTTACACCAGCTAAGGATCTGGTCCCCTGGTATGTAGTCAGTAGAATGAGAGATGCCTTAACACGTTCTTAATTCGTTTTCATCACACACATTTCTATGGAAGAAAACTTCTAGTAGTGCATATGTTATAAAGCATCTAGGATTAAATCAGAAATACAAAAAATATATAGTGTCTATTTAAATTCTATTCATCTTATTTCAAGAGAAGAGAGAACATAAATACACTAAAAATCTCAGTCATTTATCAAATACTCAGACAACTAACACTCAGCTATGAGCTACTCTGCGAATCATTTAATAATTAATATGTATTATTCATGATGCTTTTAATCTGCTCTACACACAATTAATCCTCATAACAACCGTGGGCGATAAATACTATCTCACAAACAGAGACAGATGGGTTAAATAAATAGCTTGTCCAAGGCCACAAAACACACCGTCAGAGCTGGGAACAGAACTCCTCTATTCCTGACTCCCAGGCCCATGGGCAGTCCACTAGGATATGCTAGAATAGATTGTCACTGTGATGATCCCTCTTTTCAACACTGTCACAGTGGTTTGCAGATGAACTGTGACTGATAAATAACAAGGGAGACAGCTGCATCACCGGTAACAGAAATCTTTCTCCAATTCAGACTGACTGCAGCGTATGGAATTTTTATATTCTTATGCTGCAGTGGTCACAGGGGCAAAGTTGTCATTTTGCCTGCCTAAATTCCTCCTGCACTTTCTTTTTCACTTCCACTACAAAATTGTTGTGATGTACTGTTAAACAGCAGCCAGGTTCCAGCCCAGCGGTGGAGGCATTTCAGCAAAGGATAAAGTGATTCACAATATGGCTGGAAGAAAAGTTGAATACTCACAATTGGGATCAGATTTTCAAAAAAACTGGGTTTTGGGTGCTGAGTTCTTTTGAAAATCTAGCCATAAGTGTCATCACTGTTGCCCTCTTGAAATACCAAAATGAGGCATTGCTCACCGTAGATTATGCAGATATTCCCAATACAATCAAGCAAGATTCTGATGAGCTACCCAGGTTTAGTGGTGAGTAGATGCCCTAGAGGGCATGGCTCTCCCTTGGTGAGGCTCAGATGCCATTTGAAGTAGATTGTGCATATCTTTCTAATATGATTGACATTCTTCTTTCTTGCATGCTTTGATCAGCCATGAAAGAGTTCAGCTAGAAACTGGCTTCCGTCATCACATTGGGGTCAATGCTTTTTCCTCTTACTCATGCTTCAGAGTTTAAGCCAATCACTAATTATTAGAGATCATGATGAGAACTAATGTCTCCCCTCTGCCTATGTAGAGAGTCTAACACCTTGGGACGCTGCAACTGATGCTGTCCCTGAGAATTTCCATGCTGTCCTTTGCCACCAGGGCCGGTGCTACCATTAAGGCAAACTAGGTGGTTGCCTCGGGCGCCAAGTTTTGGGGGCGCCAAAATGCAGTGCCCCCAATTTTTTTTACAGCGTTCCTACGCCCCCTTCCTGAGTGCGCGGTCGTCGCTCCACTTCTCCCATCCCCCAGGCTTGCGGCACCAAACAGCCAATCAGCTGTTTGGCGCCGCAAGCATGGGAGGGGAGGAGAATTAGAGCAGGGGCGGCGTGCTCAGGGAGGAAGTGGAGCAGAGGTGAGCTGGGGTGGGGAGCCTTGCGGCAGCTCCCCACCACCACCCTGAGGCACCCTCGTGGCAGCACCCCCCCCGGCCCGTTGTAGACATGTCCTTAGACTTTCCTCTTGCTAACATAGACCAACCCTCACCCTGAGCATTTTGCAGTTCCTTTGAGACCATATTTCTTGTGCAGTGAGTCTGATCTTTCTCCATCCCTCCCCATATGAGGCCCCACAAGCCCTTTCCACTCTTTGTGTGCAAGGGATCAACCTTTTTCTCTAAGCCTTAATTGTGACTTTCATTTTGAACTGAACTCAAGTAAACACACACAGGCATGAGCACACACACCAGTGTTAAAGTAAGAGACTTCTATTGTCTGTTTCCAGTGCGGAGGTTTGGAATAATGCAAAAATGTGCCTCTATTGATATTTCTCTCTGTGTTTTTTGTGGTGAATAACACTAACCCAGAAAGCTATCACAACGAATCAGTAGTTCAGCTGAGAACATACTAAAAGCTCTGTGGTGCTTTTGCAAATCAGAGCTAAAAAAAGCAGAAGGGTTAACTACAGTACTTTAGAAATTTAAGAAAGTGAGCCATACAGCCACTCTAAATAGATTTTTCTCTATGTGCCTAAAGCCCAGGGGTTGCTGAAAAGCTCATCTGTCTTAATTCTGGATGAAGCACTTCCTGAGCAGAGTGGGTTCAGTGCAGATTGGTATATGGTGTCTCTTACTCTTTGACTAATACAACCTTCATGTATTTTACTGACTAGCTGAAGACAGGTATATTTCCTTTCAGGAGGAATTTATGGCTCAAGCCTCATGACATTTTAAAACAGAGGAGGCCCCAATTAAAAAAATAATACTGAACCCTTCTACCTTATCTAGGTTAGGAAGCAAAGGCAAGTATGAAACAAACATTATCTCAATCCTAATTAACAATGTGCCCCAGTCTTATAAATCTTCTGCATGTAGAACTTGCATGGGCTTGTTAGTCCGTACTTGTCAGATAGGAGTTCTATGCATGGAGGGCAAGATCAGAACTATACATTCTAGATAAAAAAAAATGGTAGCCAGTTCTGCCACTGTTACTTCTTGAGACAGATCTAACTAAACGTTTCTGGAGGTGGCTCTGTGATTTAACCCCAGCTGTGCCACTACTATGGCAAGACTCTTTCACGTGCAGACATTCAATTGGAAAACTGGCACTTGCACAGAGATGTATCAGATTCTGAGGAAGCACTACAGGTGCATTATATAGCACTGAAATGGTTAAAGCTTAGAGCTTGGAAGGAGGGACCATAAAGACCTCCCTTTGATTAACACCAGGGAAAAGATGCCAGCTGTGCAGAGAAAGCAGGGAAGGAGGAGAATATTCACATTGTCACTGCTTAGAGCTGCTTTATCTTGTATAATGTGCTTTGAAGTATTCTTAAGAAGCCTGTTGGGGTGGATGGGTTAATCACATTTAACACAGTTGTATATATCAGTACCATATTATATGATTTATAAGGGCTTTAAATGGGGGAATAAAAAAGAAAATTAATTCCATGGTTTGAACACACTATTTATACCCCATATCTATGGCACATTTAATATTCACGTCACCCTGATAAAATGGTTCCTTTAACTATAGATAGGATAAACATCACTTTTGAAGAAAAGAGGCATAAGAGCGTGTGCAGAGATTTTAAACTGGCTGGTTCATCTGTAATATTAAATTCAAAGAGAAGTGACACAAAGATAGAACTTTGCTGCTGGTTTCCATTTCAATCAACTTTCTTTCTAAAAATAAGTCCTATTTATGTCAAGCATTTGTTTCAATTTGGT